TGCTGCTGCCTCTCCTGCTGCTGCCTCTCCTGCTGCTGCTGCTCAAAGATGCGGCGGGTCTCCTGCAGCTTGGAGTAGCTGGGCGACGAGGCCCGCTGGTGCCCATTCTCCGGTTTGATGTCGAACTTGTTAACGCGCTCGGACACGGTGGAGCCGAGCTTTAGCAGCGCGCTGTGGTCCACGTTCTCGTTCAGGCTCCCGGCTCTGGGGAGGGAGAGGCGCACCGATTTGTCGGCGTTTCTGGCGACGTCCTCTCCCTCTGCGTCGGCTGGGGAGGTGGTTTGCATCTGCTGGAACATGTTTTTGATACGGTGCACATTGGAGCCGTACCTGCGCCCTCGGGGGCCCTCCTGCATGTCCCCGTTCGCAGCATTGTCTTTGACGGGCTTCAGGGCCTGCATCCCCGCCTCGTATGCGTTCCTGTGCGGGGATGGGCTCCGGAGCGTAGAGCCAGAGCCGGTGCTCTTGGATGTGGATTCGGTCTTCATCATGGTCAGTCAAGCGTCGCAACGGATGCTCAGCGACGGCATGTCTCCTTGCTCAACCCCCGGTGGCAAATGTGTGTTATCCACCAGCCGCCGATCCTCGCGAGGTGGCGCTCAGACTAGACCGGCAGATGGGGAGAAACAAAAACAACAGATCGCATTAAAGGCCTGCTTGCATCCGCTGCAATTCTCGTCCAATGCAACGGAGAAAGTGAGCACGATGCATCTGTCATTAGCTCGCCTTGCACTTACAACAATGCAAACCTAACCCTCACACAGATAAATGCATTAGTCATTGAAAAAAAATAAATAAAAAACATTTGCACGGAGAAGTAGAAGAGGAGGGAGCCGCGGATTGAGCGCAGCTGACGCCAGATTGCTTACGTTTAATCCCTTTTCACAGGCAGCATCATTTTGATCTCTTCATTCTGTGAGCTGCAGATTTCTGGTCCTCCTCTCGCAGCGGCACAGTGCTGCTGCATGGAGGAGGGAGCTGCTGGGTCCTAGTGCCCGAGCGGCCTGTAACCGCAGCCTGTGCTGTGGGCTGTGTACTGCATAATCCTCATTTATTGTTCCTAGGAGAATGTGTATTCACCATTATGTGTATTATTTCACTTCTCATCATATAGTAAATCAGTTCCCAGACAGGGGTGCTTGTGGGGGTTAATGTGGAGGAGTTCCGCAATTCATTTGAAAAAAAAACAACAACAGAATTACGATTTGATTAAAAATATATCCATCACATATTGAGTCCGATGCAGTTATATTTACATTGTCAGCATGTGAAAAATAGTCAGCTAACGTTAAGCTAAGCGTTTAGCTAAAAGCAATGGAGTTAACTGTTGGCTGAAAGTGTTAAATGAAGTGGTGAAGAAGATAAAAAGTAAAATAAATAACTTAAATAGCTAAAAGTAATGAATACATAGCTGAAATTGTTTAAAAAAAGAACATAATGGGAAAAGGTAGAGCTAGTGGATTGCTAATACTGTTAGCTATTTAAAAACAGCATTCAGTAATAAACAGTTGGTCATTTTAGTTATATGCTAAGTGGTAAGAAAATGGTTGAGACAGCTTTTAAACATTAATAAACTGTTTAAATAGTTAGCTTAAAGTGTTGGATAAAAGAAAAAGTTCAAAGCAGTGGAACAATGGCTGAAAATGAAAATACTTTGGCCAAAAATGAATGAATAAATGGTTAATGGATAACTAGATAACATGAAAAATAGTAAAATGTGCAGCTTCTGACACAAAAACATGACCAAACTGACCTTAACAATCACAGTTACACTGTCCGAAAAAATATTAGTGCTGAATAAAACCTGGTTTCAACATTAAATGAACATATCTGAAACACGACTGGAGGAGCTGCTGAAGGGTCTATATGATTAAAATAAGGTTGTGAACCACTGTCATGAGTTTTTATGTGATCAAAATAACACAGTTAATGTCAAACACCAACAATAAGAAGTCAGCGCAATAAAATCGAACCACTTACCTGTCCTTCAGTAGGTGTCTCTGGCTGTCAGAGAACTCGACTGGCGTTAGGACCCAGTGAAACATCAGTCACGTCAAACCCTCCTGGCCAATAATAACACATCCGTTATTTGCAGGCCACATTGTCGCTTCCTGCATTCTGCATCTGTAGCTGATAGATACATTAAACATTATCAGTGAACATAGACAAAGCATCTGCCCTTTTTTGGTTGAGAGCTGGTTTCCAACCTGCCCACGCCGTCTCGGTTTCTCAGTGTTTTTCTGGGGGGGTGGGGGGGCTGATTTATCTACAAGGCCAAAACATATCATGCAGGAAAAAGCACAACAGGAGACTTCTGTCACCCTCCTTTGGCTTTTACCATGACAGCTATTTTATCTCTCTGAGGGTCTAGTGTAAAGCACACAACTAGAGAAGTACTGCCTGAAATGACTGAAGTGTTGTTCAATAGGATGTGCATCACTTTCAGTAAGGCAGTAGTGTCATCTAGCTAGCTTTCCTTTAAAAGTGTTATTGGTGTGTAACATAGGAAGGCAGTGCCCTGTCCTTGAGTCAATGACTGAATGATATTGATTTAAAAGCTGGGCAATTCATGCTTCAACTAACTTAAGTATGTGATTTTATATTGCCAGAAAAAAATAATAGAGCTCCTGATTTACTCCACGCAAAAATAGCTCTGACATGTCTTGCTGTGACCTCTCCTCTCTGTCAATCAAAGGCCAAAATAAGATGGCAGGCTGAGGGAGCTGGGTCTTCTTTATAACAGGCAAGTTTTTTTCCTGAAACTTCATGTTTATGACAAACTGTAGAGCTTGTTTTAGTATCAGGTCTGTAAAGTAAATATTTGATTTCAGCTGTCAAGGATTGTAGGCCTAACTGTAAATTCTGGGGTTGTGTATAGTGTGTGTATTTTAATGACAAGTTTAAGGTTTTGTTTGACCAATCAGATAAATCTGTTGCTGTTTTTTAAAGCTGAAAGCTGGTATGATAACCCCATGATTTTTAAATGCAACCTGCAGAATTAGACCTTCCAGAGTGGCTGTGCTTCACCCAAAGCCGCCCTTATGATAATGGCTTCCTGTATGGCACGCCAACATCTCCAGGAAAAAGTGTGATTGAGGTATGATGTATGTATGATGTATCATTTACACCAACAGTGATACAAGGCTGAAACATTTTTAAGCATTTCTGGTCTTATTTTGCTGTTTAGTTGTATATATTTTTATGTTTCTGTTCCTGTACATAACTTGGTCAAACGTAGATAAGGTTCCAGTGCAGCTACAGTGGAGACCAATCTGAAAAATATGCAGCTATCTGACACATCGGTGGTAAATGTCAGGTTTTGTTGTCAGACCCTCAGAGACAAAGGCTTTGGGTTTCTCTCTATAGCTGCTATTTTGAACCAATATTAAAAATTCAGGAGGAAACATGTCTTTGAAGAAGATGAGATACACATTTCTGAAGGGGCACAGCAGTCTCAATCAAACAGAATGTGTTGTGTTGAAAACATGTTACATTTTGGATGTAACCACAGAAAACAGCTGTACCTCAGATTCAAAACACTTAAGTAACAAACTGCAGCCATTTTCTATGATTTACCCCCTGGAGTCCAGGTTTATTTTGGTTCATTTTTGCTTTCCGTGCATTCATTTCTGTCCTTGTTTAGCACCTTTTAAACTGTCCTTACCTCACATGCATGGTATCTCTTATTCAGCACAAACTCAGCTACAAGCCTGACTTCTCATTTTTTTTAGTGAGCCTTGCCTGATTTGAAGGCCTGGACTCAGATAAAAGCAAACCAAAAAAAAACATGACACCAACACATATAAAAATGTACAAATCATCAGTCATAATCATTCTCAATGTTATTATATAAGTTATAGGTTGTAAAAAAAAAAGAGTTTCAATATTTATACACACAATGACGGCAGAAACTTTAAGAAATAAAATAACTTTACATGTAAGTTATTTTATTCCAACTCACCATGTGCTTTTTTCACTGAAGGTCTACATTTGCCTGTAAATCAATTAAACTATTAAAACGTTTTAAAAGTTCCTTTCAAAAAGTGTTTTATGGTCTGCAGACATAAATCATTGTGTGAAGGCTGCACATCAGCGCTTTTAACTGCTTTTCTCAGCTTGTCTCAACATAATATAGAAATAAAGTTGCATTACTGTAAATAAAACATGCACAGTGCATTTGCAGATAAATAGACAGACTCCAGAGGGTTGAGGTATTACAGGAAATGTAGGACATTGAGAATGAATGCAGAAGTAGACAAGGCAGATTGATGCAAAGTAAAAGAACACATCAGCAGAATCATCACAAACCAATACTGAAACAATATCTCACAATGTCTGAGGGTGGGATGTTTAAATATATGAACACTGATAGTTATAATCGTGACACACTGTCATTGTTTCTCTGACAGATCTATGCCTTTAACAAGCTATCAAAAAACCAGACAAACACTGATAATCAAAGTCACTGCAGGTGTGAGTGATTTAAATATCACACATGCATTGTATAGTTAAAAAAGGAAGTGCAACAACAACAGAGGAAATGGTTGACATGTCACACATCACTGCTGTCACTCAGAGAAGATGCTGCCCTATCAAGTTCTTCATCAAGCTGAGGGAGATTGAGAAGGTGCTGCCCTCTCCTGTTCAGGATGAGATACAGCAGGATTTACACAAGCTGTGGAACACAGAGACCTTGGAGATTGTCATTATATCCAATGCCAAGTTTGGAGTATGTTTTGTGTATGTGCTAACTATCTGATACTAACAGTAATGGTAATAATGTATTATTTTGTCTTCTGTCTGTTTAATTTCATTTTAGCTCTTATGTTGGTCTATGAACTGCAAGAAGAAAAATAAAGGTTTTTAGACCATCAGCCATGGTTTATCATTTTATCAACTGGATGCTACAGATAATTTTAAGTTTAATTAGTTCATTTGAATGTAGTTAGTTTAGTCAAAAAGTACAATATTTCCAGCTGAAATGTTGTGCTGTAGAAGTATAGTAGTAGAAAAGGGAAACAGTCAAGTAAAGTACCTCAGAAATATACTTAAATGTACTGAGTTGCTTTAAGCATGGACAATTCATGCTTCAACTAACTTAAGTATGTGATTTTATATTGCCAGAAGGAAATAAAACAGCTCCTGTATTACTCCACGCTCCCAGACAGCCTCCCGGATGTTTTTAGGTGAGTGAGGTAAAAATAGCTCTGACATGTCTTGCTGTGACCAAGCCCCTCTCCGCTTGGCTCTGTCAATCACAGGTCAAAACAAGATGGCAGGCTGCGGGAGCTGGGTCTTCTTTTTAACAGGCAAGTTTATTCCTGAAATGATTGAAACTCAGGTTTATGACAAACTGGAAAGCTTGTTTTAGTATCAGGTCTGTGAAGTAAACATTTGATTTCAGCTGTCAAGCATTGTAAATTGTTAATTGGACTATTGTCTGACAAACTATATGTCTGGGGTTGTGTGTAGTGTGTGGTCTGTCTATATTCTAATGACAAGTTTAGGGGTTGTTTGCCCTTTGTGACTAATCAGATAACTGTTGCTGTTATTTTTTACACTTCCACAGTTTGTGCTGTCAGTTTGCTTGGGGCCAATGCAGAGATCAAATTTACCATTCCTGTGGGGAAGTTATTTACATATGAGCTGATGAGAGAGACTTTCCTGAATGACTTTGAACCTTTGTCAAAACTCTACGGTAAGAGCTTGAATCATATTAACGCACTCTTTGGTCACTATTCAACAAAATTACAAGATAATAGATACTCTTATTGTATGTGTCTACCTCTCTACTCTTCTTTTTGTGTGTTATGAAGCTGAACGCTGGTATAATGACCCCGTGATTTTTAAGTGCAACCTGCAGAATTTCCCAGACCTTCCAGAGTGGCTACGCTTCACCCAAAGGCACCCTTATGATAATGGCTTCCTGTAT